AGAGCTTGTATGTATGCCCCTGGACTGCTTTGACCTGGTCTGTTAGGTCACACTTAGCAAGCAGCCTTTTTTCTTAATTAAAAATTTTTTAGATTTTTTTTAGATTTTAAAGATGCCTAATGGAAGGCAAAGGTGGAAGCCTCGCTGCCACGGGAGGTGGTGCTGGTCTAGGGCTCCAAAGCCAGGCTATGTGTGGGGAATGTATGCTTTTCAGGTCCAGCATGCATACCCTCCTGCTCCCTGCGGGCCTGGAGTGATGAGCAAGTAGATAGAAGCGGTGCTGGCAGGATGTGTAAGGCAGCTGTGAGCCTCCTGCACTGGCAGGAATGGGCTGGGGCAGCAAGACGGAGCTCAGGGCCCCCGGCATGAGGTGAACACCGCAGAGCACTGCAGTGGTATGGGCCGGCCTGGGAGCGGGCAGAAGTGGCACTGGCAGAAAGCGAAGGGCAGTGGCATGAGCCTCCTGGGCCAGCATGCGTGGGCTAGGGCAGCAAGGCGGAGTACCCAGGGCTGCCAGCTCAGAGAGCACTCCACAATGGAAGCCTCCCAGGAGGGGAGGGGAGCCGGTGGCGGGGCTGGTGAAGGGGTCCAGGGCAACAATGGGGTGAATCGCCCCCAGTCGCAAGTCAGCTAACCAGCTACTGGTATACTGCAGGTCCGTTACCGGGGTTCTGGGTGAATGGAAGGAGGGACCGTAGCCCAGGGGTGGATCACTGCCACATGGGGAGAGAGTAACTGTGGGAAAGGGAAACTTCTCTCCTAGTGGAGCACCACGAATGGGCAGGTGCTGCAGGGGGTCTTGCCACAGCTATGTGTCTGGGAGGGGCAGCCAAGCACCTCCTAGCATGGAGACCTGGCCTGGGGGTGGGGTGGGTCAATCGCTGCTTGAGGCAGCGGTGGTGGTGTACTGGGGGCCACTCAGCCTGATAAGCCAAGACGTCCCAAGGATCAGATCCCAGATCTCAGGGGCTCTGGCTCAGGACAGATGCATGGGGGAGGGGGTAGTGTTGTTCTGGAGCATTCTCCTACTCACCAGAATCCTTCCACTAGGCCACCTGGACACTAGACCCACAGTGCATGAAAGAGTCCTCAGTATGTGCCACTCACCTGGGCACCATCTTGACTGGTCTCTCTTGTTTGTTTTTCTGTGTATGAAATCCCAGAGAGGTAAATCTAGAGAGACAGTAATTGGATTAGTGGTTGCTTGGGGGTATTGTAGAGGAGGTTGGTGGGGAAGGAGGGAGCGAAGAATGATGAGAAGAATAAGAAAATGTTCTAGACCTGATTGTGGTGATGATTGTACATCTCTTCTTTAGGTAAACTATTTAATTGTAGGCTATGTGAATTGTATTGCCAATAAAAGTGTTAAAAAGACTCAATTTGGTGTCCAGTGAAAAAGGGTGGATTTCTTTTCATTCAGTAATTATTTGTTGAGTACAAGACCCACCCTTGGAGTATAAGAAAGCACACTTTTACCATGAAGAAGTTCACTTATAGTCTAAGAGAGAATGCAGAGAAATGCTGGTAGCTTAGGCATGCTGTGTGGTTCAGGTAGGTGTTTACAGGGCAAGGGAGAACTGAACATGCCAGAAAACCCTAGGGAAGGCAACAGAATAGAAAGACGTTTTAAGGAACAGAGGGAAGACTCTGGGTGTAGTCCTGGCCTTCTTCCCCCAAGGAGTCTATCCATTATGCCAGCAGTCTCAGGAAGCACTCTCGGTAGCGGTTTCTATTCAGTTTTCTGGAGAAAGCGGTTGCAGTGGAGGTATGAGCTGCCGACCTAGTTCCTACCTTCCCTCCATGGCCTAGGCTCAGCAGTGAGACCACAGACATTCAGTGTGATGAAGAGGACAGCTGGTTTCTCACAGGGCTATGCTGGACTAATATATGCAAATTAAAAACAAAAAAAATAACCAAACGTGGGTCAGAGGAAACAGTGCTCTAAAGGTGGAATGAGGAGAGACGGCCCTAAAAGAAACTATTTGGTATATTGAAGTTGGAAGGTAGAAAAACTCAAAAAACTGCCATTGAGTAGATTTCCACTTAGAGACGCCATAGAACACTCTAGGACTGCCCCTGTGGGTTTCTGAAGCTGTAAATTTATACAGGAGTAGAAAGCCTTATTTTCTTCTGCAATGGGGTGCTGGTGGGGGTGCTATGAACTGCCGGCTGTGTGGCTAGCAGCTTAAGGTGTAACCAGTTATGCCAACAGTGCTCCTTGAGAGTTATACAGGGGTTACAAAACTTAGTAGAAAAATTCCAATATTCTGTGAACTTTCTGAAGCCTCCCCCTATTAAGACAGTCACCTTCATTGTGTTTGCCTTTCTCCAGGCCTACTTGGCCCTCAAACTCCAGCTTATGAAGAGGTACGTGCCTTTGAAGTTGCTGTCAGATGATTCAGGGAGTTATCTCTTGTAGTTGTTTTCTTAAATTCGTCTGCTTCATTGTAAACATTGGTGTGCACTGCACATGCATGTACACATACACACGAACAAAATGAGGAAAACCCAAGGTGATTCATGCAAGCCAATTAGATTTCTTTTCCATGCCTAAGTCTTGCAGATTTTGAATTCAATTCAGTCTGTGAATTGGAATGTTTTTCTCTCTCCCTCTTTCATGTCAAAGCTGAGAATAGATCAGAATCACAGGGACTATTCTCTGTAAACTCAATTTGTTTTCAGTGACATGTTATATGGCTTAAGGATAGAAAATCATAGCCTGACACCTGTATACATGAAACAGTATTACTCTGCTGAGAAGCAACGCAGCTAATAGCAAGAAAGTGGGTTGAAAGTTGTCAAATACGTCCCTTTCTTATGAGCAAAGTTGAAATCTCTGTGAATGTAATGCCAAGTTTCAGAAAGTCTTGAGAGACTAAGTAGTGTCTATTTTACTGAGGGACATTATGAGGAAATGACCACTAGACAAAAAAGCAGCAAGTCTTAAGAGACAAACTAACTGCAAAGAGGAATAGCATCTTAATTAATTTTGTTTTTACTTTACCATAGGTTCTGTATTGATATTTTCCCATTTATTTCTCTTCAGTAAAACTCTTTAAAGAAGTTGTACAGGCCCACCCAATAAAGAATGGCTTCTTTAATTGACTATCTGGCGCCCTCTAGTGGACAGAAAATATAACAATCAATCTACTTGACTTTTGCCTTTAGCATTGTGAACTAGGTAGCTTTGATATTCTGCCCCACAGGAGGGCTGGTAGGGAGGCCACATCTGACTGCCTCCAGCTATAAAATGAGGAAGGAGAATCCAACTCCACATTTGCCTAAGGAAGACTCCTGTGGGTCAGAGGTTAGCCAGGCCCCTACAGTCCTTCTTTACTTTGTTCACATGTCATTGGTTGCAATGGCAACACAGAACTTGTAGACAAAATGAATATTGGGTGAGATCATAGGTTCCAAGTCAGGCTCAGAAATGTTAAGGAAACAGTTCTTTTGTCTGCAGTGCCTCGTCTCAGCCATGCAAGTAGGCAGGTCTCTATTTGTTCTTCAGCTCTTCAACCATGCAATCTGTCCCCTGCCCTGCCTAGGCATGGATTACAAAGCTTTTATCACTGATAAATGCCCAAAGGGCACCTCATTCTTTATTTGTGCCTCCTTCTTAGAATAATTTACCTGTGCTGTTGGCTGGGGAATCGGACACTTTAATCTCACGGCCTCTGTGCTACATGTAGCCTCTGTAGCAGCCAGCATCTCTTCCCACAGAGATCTGGGATACGCTTCACTTGGGGCTCTTTCTTCACGGTCATAAGATTCTCCCTTCCTGCTTCTGAGATGGCTAGCTTTACCCAGCAGAATGGCAAAACTGTATAATCCCAACATTAGTCTTCCACTCTTTATATGTATGCTCCCACCTAGTCATTTGGGGTTAACAAAGATTCTGGATAGAAGAGCTAAATTAAGCAATTTAACTGTGCCAGTTGGCTAGAGGCAAAACTAAACAATGGAACCAGGAATTCTATATTAAACTATACCCCCCATCTCTCTGGAGTACCTGCCATGAGACATGATTCAGAGGTTCTCAGGGATTCTGTGACAGCATTAGTTATTACCAAATGAAGAGAATTCCTGGGTAATGACAATGGTGAGCTGGCTTTCTAAACTAATTTAGTCTCACCCAGAGGCACCTCAGACAAGGGTCTGGTGATTAACTTCCAGAAAACTAGACATTCAAAACCCCATGCAGCACAGTTCTGATACACACTTGTTTCCCTGCAAAAAAAAAAAAAAGACAAAGTAAAACCAAATCCAGGGAAGTCTTATCTCTTTTGTTTCTAGGGTGAACATATTATGGGCAATTGGATGCAGTAAGATTAGATTTGGGGCCTTTAAGATTTAAGAAGCTAACTACATTAAGTGGAACAAACTCATGCTTTGAAACTGGCCATTCTGGGCTTGAATCCAGCACATGCCACAAGCCCCTTGACTTCGCTTGCCCTCGCTCGCGCCTGCTCGCGCCTGTTATGGCCGGAGATGGCAAGGTGTGCGGAAACGCTGCCCACCAGCTAGCTGCAGAGGCAGCTGCGAGCACGCCGCGTTCACAGATCAGCTCGAGGAAAGCGCGGGCCCCTTGCTTCCTGCCCCAAACCCAGAGTCCCCGGACAATGCCCCACTTAAAGCCCCCACAGCCCTTTAAAAATTCACAACACCCACACTTGTTCAGTCTTTTATTTTTACAAAGCATGGCCATAAAAACAAAACAAAACAAAACTGCGGAGATCACCGACAGGTGAGTAGTTTTGGACAACCACCCCAAGCATCCGGTGCCGTGCAGGGAACAGAGGGTGGGGAGACCCCCCTTTGGGGTGGGATTGCGTACACACGACCATTTCAAACGGCTAAATATACAGAGTTAACTCCTTAATCCTAGTACAAAAATAGTGCCAGAAACTATATATTTGTCCAATATAGATTGAAAAGGTATAAGAATACAAATCGATATGAACAGTGGCTAGTGATGATTCACAAGGTTCGCTTTTCTTAGGCCGTCATAGAAAATTAAAAAAAAAAATTTCAACTATGTGCAGTGCTTTCACCGGCTCGGCGAAGACGTGCTGCCCCGGGACGCACGAGTCTGGGGAGCCGGTGGGCAGGCGGTGCGTGCGGGCTCCGTGGCTGGACGAGCAGGGGGCGCCTGGTCCGGTGGCTGTGACCGCAGAGAACCAGGGGAGCGCTCGCCATAAGCGGAAAAGTTCAAGACCAGCCAGAGTCTGCGGCCAAACGGATCCGTCCATTTCTGGAAGCCACTGCGCGAGGACATTGCGGGGCCGGAAGCGGACAGGCCTCTTAGCGTGAGCTCCACATGTTCGCGCAGAGCCCACCCTGGTCCCCGGGCTCGGGAAGGGCCTCGTACGCAGGAGCCACGCTGCCGTGTGTGCACCACCACCGTGTGCAGGGCATCGCTTCCCTCCCACCACTCAGGTCTGCCAAGAGCTGGCAGAACCACCTGGTAGGAGACACAGCACACCTGACAGTCAGCTCGAGGCGGGTCCTCGTGTGGGTGCTGCATGCCGGAAAGAAAGGCACTTCTCTGCCAGGCCATGTCCAGCCTCTGTGACCAGTTGCCTCCCAGAACCCAGTCTATTGTCTTACACCGCGTCCTCTCCACCACCACCCTACCCCGAAGGAAACTTCTGCCTGAGGTGAAGTGCTTCAACGGAGCTCTCTGCCAGGTAAATCACCACGTCCGTTTGGTGGTCAGGGCCTTGGAAAGGCAACGGAAGTACCTACGAGCATTGCTGGAGGGCAGCCTGGCATCCCCGTGTGGGCAGTGGTCTTCAGGGCCTGATGAATACACAGGAGCTAGCTTATGGGATGTCCTCTTTGAAGACAACCGCTTAGCCGCTGCCAGTAATAGTGCGAGTTGCTCTGGAGGGGTGCGTGCGTGTGTATGTGTATGTGTGCATGGAGGTGAAGTGTCGGACACAAGTTCCCACAGAGAAGCAAAGGCCAGCCTTTTGAAAAACACACAGCCAGGCACTTTTAGCCACTTACAGTTTTTAGATGAAAATGGAAGTTAAATGGTATTCTATTACTCAACTGTAACTCAAACAAAGGAAAATAAACCACTTTTTGGATCTACAGCAGTTATGGAGTTATGGGTTATATAAATATAGGGTAGGGGGAAGGAGGGCTGATCTAGAAAGCAAATAGTCACACAAAGACCAAAAAATAAAAAAATTCATTTGTGCCCATGTACCACAGATAGGAGCCAAGTGTGAAGTGATTTTCCAAACAGGTAAAAAAAATCCCTGGAACCAATTCTCCAGTCCTAAAGAAGCCCTCTTTTTCCAAGAGGACACAGCCATGGCACTGCCCAACTCTTTCAATATCTAAACAGCAAAGCCAGGCACACCAAAGCATTCCTAAACAGATCTTGCTTATGAAAATGGCATGTGTCCAAATCCTTGGCACACAACCTACCAGACTTGCACGAAGAATTCTCAGGGACACATGCTCCTGGGGCCTGCAAGAAACTTCTGAGTATGTGGTGATAGATATGTGTGATAAAAAGAGCTTGTAAAGATCTCTAGTCTTCATCGATTTTTCTTTTCCCACTAAGAACTTATGTATGCATGCACAGGTGTACACCAGTATGTTAGCACAATTGTCCTAGTGACTGGCTGTGTAATTTACACACCAGTGCCACCAAGAGGCCACCTTGCAGAACACGTCTGGATGACAGAAACTACAAGCATCATAACAATAACAACCTCCGTGGATAACGACCTAAGCTAGAGTAACAGCAATACGGTTTGTCGTCTTCTACCCCCACCCCCGCCACCCCGCAAGGTAAGGAAGCCACATGTCACCAGATATATATACACACATTCAGAATTAAAAATAAAATAAACCAAAAAACAGGTAGAGAAAATATGTTGACACTCAAGAGTTTAGGAGAAAAAAAGATTTCAAAGGAAAAGACAATGTCTTTTAGGTGAAAGGTTTTTGAGATTGCTGTATTACCCTATTCAAATTAGTGATAGAAACTCAGATGACACATTTTTTTTGGGTGGGTGGGAATAGGAATAAAACTATCTCATTTCTCACTCTCCTAAAATGCAAAGGTTTTTGGATATTTGGAACATACTTTCCTTCATGGGCCAGTTTGCTCACTCACTAGGCTACTTTGCCAACACTGAATAAATGTGTATTTAGGGTAGACATGTCTATGGGACTCGACTGAAAGGGTTCAAATTCCCTAACAGTCTTCACTATATTAAAAAGAATGGGAAGAAAATAGCTCTAGCTACAAATTGAGGGCTAGTGGTTGTTTATCATGATTCCTAAATTTCTGTGATTCTGGGCTCACTGGTCCTCTAGGCCCAAGCATTGCAGCTTCTCAACCACAGATTTTAGGACTTGCTGCATTTTAGTCAGGCCCGCTCCCTTGAGTTCATTTCTGAGCTCCGCGTTGAGGAGAGCTTGTGGCTGTTTATGTAGTTCACACTTTTCTCTACACTTTGCCTGACAGGCAAATGAATTCCATTTGTACTTGCTTCCTTTCTCAGTTCCGGCCAGTGCTCCAATTAACTCCTTTCCGCAGTACCCTCTGGAGATCGAAGCTGCGGACTTAAAAGCCATAGAGAGTTGAGAAAGTTGTTTAGAAAAGGAAGTTCAATGTTGAAAACACTTTGAGAAGCGTCTTCCGACTCCATGTTTCCCTTCCCTGACAGAATTAAACACTGGCCCATTTCTGCATCACGCTCACTGTCCCTCCACCGGGCCTGGATCTTTTCAGAAGTCTCTGCTTTTACACCAGAGAGGTCAGACTGAAGAGGATTTCAGTAGCCTGGGAATAAATGTACTGCCTGGAAATGACACAGTTCTCCTGCCTGCCAGCAAAGAAATCAGTGAGCCAATACCTTCTCTTTCTCATACTGTCGGATAGCATTTTCTGTCTGTTAGAGAGGGGCTGACCGTTGTTATTGTTGGTAAGGTAATAACGCTGTTGACAAATAGACCTCTTTGCCATTCAGGTGCGCTCAGCCAGTGTTTTGCTCTGCCCTTGGAAGGCTTGCAATGTCACAGAAGACGTTCCATTTGCTCCTAGCCTGTCTTTGAGAACGAAAAATCCCAAGCACTCTCGAAAGATTGGCAATTCAGAAAACACACACCCACGGCGACATCCACACCCACACAAAACACCCCCCCCCCACACACACACATCAATTATTTAAAATCTCCAAGCAAATAACACCCTCAGGGCAAGAATGCACACATGACCACACACGGCAGGCTTCTCAGCACGCCGGGGGCGGGGTCGTTGATCAGCTTGGCGGAGTGGCATAAAACAGTCACAGAAAAGACGTCTCCTGGCAGCACTTCATGCTTGCCTCTCAAAAAGTTGTGCAAAAATGAAAAAAAAAAACAAAACATATATAGAGAGAGCAGGAAGTGGCAAAGCACACACTCAATGTGTACTGTGTGTAGGTAGCAAGACGTGTGTCTTCCGGCAGAAGACACCATCTCCATCAATGTCCCCTCTGCGAGCCAGAGGCCGCTCAACTGCGCTTGGCCTGGCCGCTCTCGCCATTCAGCAGCGTCTTCTCCTGCTGCTCGGCCAGCGCCTGCCACTTCTGCCTGTTCTGGCGGCAGCCGTCCAGCAAAGGGAAGCAGGCCTCGGAGACCCGGGTCAGCGCCTGAGGAAGGACGGAAGGAAAGCAAAGGTCTAGAGGGAAGCCGGGGCCTACGGGCGGTCCTCGCCCACGGGTCCTCACCCAGGGCAACACTCCACACTCGTTTCCTGGCCCGGCCAGCCCCGCCGCTGATCGCTCACAGACGACCCCTCTGAGGTTCTAGAGAAGACGACGTGCGGACAGCCAGTGCACAGGCCCGCGGTTCAAGGCAGCACGACAGCTCCGGGGGCAGAAGGCAACGGCGTTCCCTAAGTGTGTGTGTCTGTGTGTGCGAGTGTGTGCATGCACTGGAGATTGCTTAGTTTTTGTGTTTTTCTACAGAACAGTTTCCTATCATGCATCTGTTTTCTGTACTTTGGGGTCCTAAACATGGAGACCAAAGTTCACACTTGTTATAAGAAGAAACAGATTCATCTGAAAGCATAAGACTGACCACCGGCCACCCACCCTCGCCCCCAAACCCACCCAAACCAGCAGTTGCAAAGGAATGGGACCTTGTTACATCTCTTCGAAGGATCTCCTTTAATTCACTCAAGAATTATCCTTAACCATATGAAAGCCACACTATGACAAGGCGGGGAGGGAGTACGATTAGGCTTCCTTAGTTTGTACAAAAGGAGTATGCTAATGTTGACCATGCACAATAAACCATCATCAGACAGCCTGGGTTCGGGATTCCTCTTAGAATCCCCTAAACAGATCCTCAACAGAAACATGGAAGGAAGAAAAATGTTTGAGCAACAGTAAATATAAAGTGTGTTCCTCATTCCAAGTAAACTTCATGTTCTTCAAGAAAACAAATTATCCTAATAAGTACATTTCTTGTTTCTCAGTTAAGAAGCAAAAATTACGTGCCTAGTGTCTAGTGTTAATCACTAGAGTGTATTTTGGGTTTAATTCACAACAGTCTAAATTTAGCCAGTCTAGTACTCATTTTTTATCTTTCATATAAATACCTCATACAGTTGCAAACAGATGGCATCTATGAATCCAACTTGCATACTTGGTATCTTGTTTTTCTTCTCTCTGTTCATTAGATCCTGAAAACACAGACATAGACATGCACACAAAGATAGGGCATTTATTTAGAGAACACCGTTCAAGTTGGTTTTGAGAACATGAATCACTGGGCTCGCGGAAGAAAGCCAGGAAGCAACTGCATGAAAAGAAATAGACTTCATGCGTTATTCTTGGGGGAGGGGGACGCATGCCAGAAGACAGAGATGGTTTGAGAAAAGTCATCCTCTCTCTTTTTTAAAAGGAGGTAGGGTAATTGAGATCCACACTTTCCACAAAGGGGCTCTAAAGGCTGTATGCCCGTCACATAGCATACAGTGGGATTTTACTTCGGAAAGAATGAAGAATGGCATGACAAGTTTAGTGAGATAGATGTTCCCGGAGTGTCGTTTATAATAATAAGTACTGAAGCTGTTAACCCCAAATGATGACTACATCAATTTCGTATCACCACTACAAACAAGACATAGCAGGGCATCTGTTATCATGAAAAGTGGCTTCAGATATTTACACGAAAAAGCGAATTATAAAAGGATAGGCAGAATATGATGACTCCAGGAATCGTTTTTGTCATCTTTGAATTATTTATGTTTTCTGTAGTGACTGTGGTTATTTTAAGAAAAAAAGTTTTAAAAATTAAAATGACAAGAAATTGTGTTATTAAAGAAAGATCTTACAGAAGAATAAAAAGAAATTTACAATTCCCACCCCCAACGAAACATGTCATTTGTTATATCCATGAATGTGGTAGATCATTGTGGTTCCCAAACTTATATGGCCTACTGGCCTCCGAGGGAAAAAAAAATCACTCGTTGCCCCCCTAGCAATGAAAAACTACTGTATTCTAACGCACAATCAAGGACAATGTGCAGGCCTCTGCTTCTGCAGCTTCCTGGATTGTCCAGCACCCAGCGGGAGGCAGTATCACCCCACGGGGGAAGCACTGTGGTGTACTGGCAGTACGGGGGCTCTGAGTTGGGCTGTGATCCGTAAACTATGATAGTCCCAGAAACCCACCGGGGGTCGCTATGAACTAGCATGGACTCCACGGGAGTGAGTTGAATGGTAGAATATATAGGGGGTCAAGTTTTTAAAATTTCTTAGACATATCAACACCTTGAGGGAATGAGCCACTGGGTCTGGGGGCTCAGGGGACCCAAAGTTAATTGGCATAACACAGTTCCCAAAGAGGATGCTCTACATCTGACTCTGGTGAGAAGAGACAGATCTTAAAAGCTTGAGAGAGGCCAGCTAGAGTGCAGCTATTGGTCTCCCTGGAGCGAAGAGGAGTCAAGAACGTTGAAGACTCATGGAAACAGTCCAATGGATGTTCTCACAGACCATGAGTACATCAGTTGCCACCACCCTGGAACCAGAAGAACTAGATGTAGTTACTGTTAGGTGCCATCAAGTTGACCTGCAACCATGGAGACTCGGACGTTAGAACAAAACACTGCCGGGTCCTGTGCCAGCCTTACAATTGCTCCTATTCTT